TTGGAGGAAGCTCGTCATGGTGAGCCCACATATTGAAGAACTTAAACGGCTTCCGACCTAGGAGAGGTCGGCTATCAATCCGAACCCAAGCTTGAGCATGATCGGAGAAACCACCCGATGGATCGAAATGAACATAAGCGGACGAGAGAGGATACGAGCTAGAAGGGGTTGACGAGGACTTCGTTAATCTTGGTCCAAACACCGTCATCGTTCCAAGTGAACTAGCTGCTCGTATACATTAGGTCCCGTAAACCTAGATCCAAACAACAAGAGCAAAAATCGAAGTCTCATAATTAGACCCCGCCGCACCATTATGCTTGTCTTCCGGAGAAAGAATTGAATTGAAGTCATCGAGCATAAGCCACCGACTTGGAGGATTACATGAATGAAGATTCGCCAGAGCGCTCGATGACTAGAGATTGTATGAAAGCCGTAGACGAAAGTGGCATGGAATCTTGATTGATGAACAAGGTCGCGAATAGGAACATGCAACCCACGGGGCGAAACATCCAAGAAATCAACCGAGACTATATCCAAATTTCAAAAAAGGACGACTTTGGAAGATCGTGAGGCATTAGAGGCAAGCCTTTACCGTTTAAGCCAAAACCGATGAAATTGAGCTAGCTCGGCCAGTCGAGCGTGGTTTCGACTAAAGCGCAAACATCTAGCTTCTTTGTTCTCATGAGGCCAACAACCTCATGCTACTTTAGGGACCGTTGAGGTCCCTAACATTCCAACGAGAGGATAATCATAGAACTCGCTCGCGAGGGCGAGCCTCCCTTAGCACTCATTTTAGACTTCCTTGCCTTACGTCGCTCTATTAACGCCCGGGCCTATATCCGAGGGCTCTCAACCTACTATGGTGCTAGCAAACCCGTACTAACCAATCCAACCGAGCCCCATTAGTGATGCCCGGATCCACCGTTTCCTCGTTCGGAGTTGCGCAAACCTTGTCGGCGCCGGAGGCCGGCCCCTTAGGGGCCGCGTCCGTCCCGACCCTCAACGATTCGTCGGCCGCGCTCGCAGTCCCCTTACCCGATGCAAAGCACTACTCGAAAAGGATCGGCCGTAAGCTCTTTACCCTTATAAAGTCGAGCAATATGGGTTAGATGAGAGGTCCGAGCCTCGCTCATCGACCGACGATCCCAATTGAGTAGGCGAAGGTTGTCGAGACCGACGCTACCGATTCAAACGAGCTTTGACTTTGGCCCGAGCAAAAATCGTTATCCACTCTCCTGCCGTAGCCTTTGCTTCCAAAACCATAGGGTCGAATGGAGTGGCCTTCGAAGGAACGCTAGCAAGGCTAGTAGGCACCGTCGCGCCCCTCCGATATCGGGCCTCCTAGTTTCGGTGAGGCTCACATTCCTCACACGACCTACACTCGCCCCCGAATGGCCATTGAAGGTTGCTTCTCACAAGAGGTCATAGAATGACCTAGAACTCGATAATTCTTGCAATGTGTCGGTAATGTCTCATACACCACCTGCTGGAGAAGGGCGAGCCATTCGGCGGCCCAATGCTTATGATTCTCGAAGCTCCTCCATGATGTTGACTTCGACTAAAACCCTAGCGTATGAAATCCGCTCAATAAAGGCAGATGAGCCTATCACACTCGGATTTGCTTGCCCAACGAACTAGCCATTTTCGAGAGACACAAAGGGGATCAATAGTTAAGAGAAAGATTCAAAAACTTCACCTAAACCGGCACTTGAGACATTTCTTTGAGGAAAAAATTGAAGAATTCGGTCATGGGTCTAAGCAATAAGAATCGATCAAAAATCAAATAAGGACCCCCATTCAAGCATTGATAATTTAGCTTCTTCGGAGGAAAATTTATACACAAGCCAACCGGAGTCATGAATGGATAATGAAGCTTGGCATTTCCATGTATTCTCTATAATTCCGTAAAGGGCTCGATAACCCGGTGACTTTTTGACAACATACCTAATAAGACAACATTTTCACATTTCGCATTTTGGATCATCGACGAAGCAAAATACAAGTTTTACTTTCGGTTATAGCCTCTAAAATGGGTGAGCTTGGGGCATAATACGAGCATTACGGTTATTTGCAAACAAATCACGTCATTTTGCATTATGGGTTTAAGAAGTATCTAGGCCGGTCGTAGGAGGAGAGTTATGCTCGGCACTAGTCGGAGGTCCGATAGAGTCGGTAGGAGAAGAAGCGGTTGCCCTCGGCCTTTCGCTGGTCACATAGCTAGAGACATGCCCTCCATTTTGAGGGGGGAGAGGCTGGAGGAGAGGAGAGGGTGAGTGAGATTCAGCCAAAATTTGGGCGGGAATTGTTAAGGGTGAAAAATTTTTGCGGGAAACCAAATTTGCACCCAAAGTTGAATTTTTGAAGCTGAAAATTTTAGGCGGGAAGCCAAATTTTCACTCAAAAATTTTGAGGGGAACCCAAATTTTCATCCGAACTTGCAGAGCTTCCTTCCTCATCGAATCCAACCCTTCTTCATCCGAGCTTGATTCTTCTTCACTAAAGGCTTTGACAATATCAACAATAACCAAAGTAGTGGAGATGGCCACCGAGATTGGACCCAACATGGGGAACATTGATCGAAACCGAAATTTCGGAGAATGGATGGTTGGAGCGACCGGAGTTATGACTGGTTTTGCTCGGCTTAGAGGTTCCTTCGACTAAAGGCTTATTTCTTCTTCTTTTTAACCATGGCTAGAGAGGAGAAGACAAGGAGACGAGAAGACGGGGAAAGAGAAAATGAAGAAGGAAAGGGAGATGAGTGGGGAGAGAGAAAACAAAGGAGACGAGAGAAGATGAACGAAACCGAAAAGGGGGACGGGGGAAAGGCTGGAATGGTGGCAGAAAGTCACGGGGAAAGAGGTTCGGGGATGGTGCCGACCGGAGCTAGAGGGAAAAACTCCATGGGAGGAAAGCATCTCTCTCTACTTTCTCTCTCCGAGGCGACCGACCGAGAGCTCTTTCTTGACATTCAATTAGGTTTTATTTGGTAATAAGCTAAGTAATTTAGTTTTATATTGTACTTAGTTAAGTTAGTAATGTTGGATCGAACTAAAAGTTATTATATTAGGTCTAGTTATTATGAGAAGGAAATTGGCTAGAAAAATATATATATTGTTACGAATTGTACTACATTAAAAATTGCAATTCTCGCTCTTTCTCTTAATTTCTCTCTTCTCCTTATCCTTTGTCCTTTTTTTTCTACCTTTGTCTTCAAGAAATGTAATAATCAACCACATCACAAAGATATAAGTAATTCATAGGTTTAATTATATTAGAGGTCTCTATTTTCGTTCCTATAAAATAAAATAAAATTTTGCATTCCAACTTTGACCTAAAAAGTCCCCTTTTCCCATCATATTTTGCAATGAATACAATTTGGCTCCAAAATAATTTTTTTTTCAAATAAGTTTATAAATGTCAAATCGTAAACTTGGTCAATATTCTTAGGAAAGATATATGATATTACGGAAAACAAAAAAATTTAACAAAATCACAATAATATCAGCTACAATAATTAAAAAAGAATCACATATGTTCATTTAATCCAATCAAATAAAAATCATCAAGATGTTTAAGGATCGATCTATTATTTTGATATAAAATTTATTTTTTAATTTTTTAGACATTTGTCAATATGTTGCAATTTTGTTTGTATGATGATGAATTGATTGACTTGTGTATAGCATAAGAGAGTTAAATTGGAAAGACTCTCACGTTTTGGAGCCCGACATTAACTTACTATGATGCCGCAATAAAAATAAAAGAATCAATTTTGAAAGCACTTTCTCGTTCATGTCCAAATAAAACATCCTTTGTTAGTTAGGTTGTTCCTCGACATGCCAATTGTGTTAGGATTTAATTGGATCCGATGTTAAATTGATGCGATTGCTAATCTTTAGAGTCGACGGCAAATTAATACGATGCCACAAAATAATAATAATTTAATTTGACTTAGATGATAATTAAGCTTGAAAATAGACTTAAGAAATTATTTTAGCAAGTATAATTCTTAGGAGATATTTTTAGAATTAAACCAAACATAGTGATTTTTCTTAGAAAAGGTACCTTTGGTTGATCATTATTTTTTCAAAAACATAATTAACTCCTTAGCTAAGAATCTCTTAATAATTTTTTTTTAATTTCTAGTTATTTTTAATACTAGGTGACGGCTTTAGAACCTTTTTCTTAATTTTTTTCATAATTTTTTTTAAAATCTCCTAAATGTCGGGTAGCGAGAAACTTTTTAAATAATACTATCAAATATTTTTGTTGTTTGGTGTCCATTGAAAACAACTTTCCTTTTTTATGCTATTCTAATTTAATAATAGACTTTACATGATCTAATATGCAAGATTATTTATAATATTAGTGTGTATTATAATGAATTTTTTAGCAATATTTTATATTATATGCAGCAATTTATTAAAATAATATAATTTTTTATATTATATTATATATGTATATGCATATGTATGTATGTGTATGTAATTTATCATTTCTAATAATATATGTTCGAAAATATTTTTATTAGTTTATTAATATTTTACGTGTAGACAAAATGAAATAGCATACCCCTTTAGGTATCGCCTCTTTTCATGAAAAATATTTTTCCTTTACTATCTTAATTTTTTTTCCTTTAATTGAAAAGTGGATTACACGTTGCCCCATTTTTTTCGAAGTATAAGCGAATGGCAAATACATAAAAGTGTTTTCCAAAGGTAAAATGAGAGATCACTTACTTAGGACCCAAGCCCAATTTTGTCAAATATATTGACGGCTTTTTTTGGTCCTAAAAAAAAAAAACAAATCCTGCATTCCAACTTTGACCTGGAAAAGTCTCCTTTTCCCATTCTACTCGTAATGAAGACGTGTCCTAACCGGCAGCGCATCTCACGATAAACGCTCTATCTTATTCGTTGTTCATTTCTCTCTGAAAAAGAAAAACTTCCCAATTCAATCTATCTAGGGTTTCTCGATCTCCAATTCATTCTTGAACAAAAATGGACGCCATAGATTCCGTGTTCGATCCTCTCAGAGAATTCGCTAAAGACAGCGCCAGACTCGTCAAACGCTGCCACAAACCCGATCAAAAAGGTAATAATTCTTTTTCCTTTTTTTATTGGATTTTATAGTAAAAACAAAATACAAATTAGGGATTTTTATGCATTTGATTTTTTATTTTGTAGAATTCACAAAGGTGGCGTCTCGTACCGCAATTGGATTTGTGGTCATGGGATTTGTTGGGTTCTTCGTGAAGTTGATTTTTATCCCAATCAATAACATCATTGTGGGGGCTTCTTAGGTAATGTTTCGATTTCAGTATCAAATTTTTTTTTTAACATTTTGTGATTGTTTATTCTGTTAAAGAGATTTGTTGACGGTGATGCATGGCTGATCGATTGTTTTGATTTTCTTAATTATGTAATGCAATTGGGATAATTATGAAGTTGATACATGGGTTAATAATTTAATGGTGGCAATTTAGGAAGTGATTGGATTGAGAAGTTGTGGCTTGTTGGATAATTAAGAGTTGAATTTAGTTTGTGTTATGTACTTTGGTTTCTTTATGAAAGCCATTTGACTATAATGGTTCCAAAAATACTATAATTTATGTATGCATTGTTCGCACAATCAGATTGGATTTGCTATGGCTTGTAGGTACTGATGCTGTTCCTTTGATAGTTCTCATGATTTGATAATGGTTTGTATCCTTGTTGCTCTGTCATTTTTTCAATGAAGCTATCAGTCCATCTAATTTTTCCCGTGTTAGGGTTTGACATCTCCATCATGTTCTATTATGCGTAAAAATGGTACCCAGACAACATAATTAGAATCATACTGTTTCCTCCTTTATATTGCAATTATGATTTATTGATTATAGAACACCAAAGATCATGCAAGTTGTTTTGGTCCTTTTATCTATACAGAATTTATGGAAATGCAGTCATACCTTCATGTGTATAAACTTGTTATTCTCTTGATTTTCCATGCATATTTATTTGGTCTTCTGGTTAATGAAAATGTTCATGTGAGCCTGTTATTAAGCTTTGTTTAAATTGTTTCTGAATTGTTTTTTGGTATGAAATTGAATAGAAACTGATTATATTTTCCTCTACAAAATTGCAGGCTGTATGGATTTGTCAGCAATTATAGAGGATGGAGGCAGTCTGGGGAAACTTGTTTTTAATGAGAATCTTCGCTTTTAGCTTGCTTAATTTCTTCTTTGATATGTTTGCCATACCCCATTGACAAGGAAATCATCAAATATCAAAACCTTTATGATTTTTGTTAACCAGTCTCTCTATTTAATGTTCGACCCACTGTGTGATCTTTTTCTTTTCCTTATTGATTTCGTACTAAACAAATGCTAAACAATTCAAATATCTTATATGTTTTTCATTTTTAGAATTCCAATCAAAAGTAGATCATCATCTATAATTTTGAAATTAAATAAACTTAAAATTTAATTTAAAATAACTTTTATAACTTAGAGAGAGACAGAGGGGGAGTGGAGTTTTATTCGTTTTTTGTTATATATATAATTATAAAAAATCATAAAAGCTTAAAAATATTTAGTTTGCATTTCTAATTAGCTCATCATTCTTAGTAATTGCATGCTTGATATATAACGAAAAGAATTATAAATAACTCAATATGATCTTATATAGTGTGATAATTTTTAATTATGTATGTTTTTTTATTTATCATAAACGATCCTCTTTTTGATATTTTAATTAAAAATTAAGAACATAATATGTACAATTATACATGTGAGGATTTATTGGAAACAATATTTAAGATAGAAGGACAAATGTTTGTAGAAAGTGGCATTTTTGAGAGTAAAACACAGTGTGTACAAGTAAACAGTTAGGTTTTTTTTTTTTTTCTTTTCACTAGTGAGAAAATAATATAGAAGTCATTAATTATATTTTAAAAATTAAATTAAATAATATTTAGTAATATTTATAGTTCTAAATATTCTTTTAGTTATTAGTATTTTAACTCATTTGAGTATGAGAAAATAATACGAATAAAGTGTTAAACGAGTAATATAATCTCACATAACGGATTAAGTTTTTGGAATGAGATGGTTGTTTGATGATTAAACAGATCACGAATTTACATCTCGCAATCCCAAAAAGGTTTTTATTTGAAGGAGTATATTAAATAATCGAGAACATGATATTGATGGATCTATGCAAGTTTCAAGTTCAATCCAAAGAATTTTTGCTTGAGAAAGTATATTAGAGAGTAATATAACGCGAATAAAGTGTTATCGGTATTTTAACTCATTTGAGTATGAAAAAATAATACGAATAAAGTGTTGGACGAGTAATATAAAATTATTTCTTAAGTCTCACCTAACGGTTTAAGTTTTTGAAATAAGATATGATTAAATGATCACGATTCGAATCTCACAACCACAAAAGGTTTTTGTTTGAAGGAGTGTACTAAATAATTAAGAACATGATATTGATGGATTTTTGCCGGTCTTAAGCTTAGTCCAAAGGATTTTTACATAAAAAGGAATATATTAGAAAGTAATATAAAACATTTACCGAGGTTTCATTTGGGTAAGTTCAAGTTTTAAATTCAAAAAATATTTACTTAAAGAAGTGTATTAAAGAATAATATAAAATTATTCCTAGATACCTTAATTAATTTGAGCAATATGTCAAGTAAATGTGAGTTTTTAAGTTACTTATTTGATAGTTCGGATCAACAAATGCATTAACTAAACTTAAATCTCTTCTCTAAAAGATTGTAAAGAATACAATTTTCACGTCAATGGTAGAAGTTTATTTTTTGAAATGTTGATCCTAAAAGTAAAACGAGGAAGAAAGCACGTTTATTAAGATATGAAAATGATAAATTTTATGTGTGGTTGCCAAAAATAAACGATGCTGCGTTTGATTAGGTCTTCCGGCTTTTTGATGAAAGCATTGTAGGCCAAGGCCTCGATCGATACACTATTACTATTACTCGTTATCATTATTATAGTATCCGTTGTAAAAAAATAAAAGATATATGAGAATTTAAAGGAAGGATGACAAGAAGAAGAATTCACTATAAAGTGAATACAAGTGAGAAAAACCGCAAGTTATTCTCTTAATCTCTCTAAAAACTTATACATTAACAAATGAACAATCAAGCCTATTTATAAGCCTCAAAATTGAGATGAGAATTGGAAGGGACTATGAATAATTAAAAATACATCAATTGCATCACCTTTTCAATTTCTCATATTGAATAATGAATTGAATCACATTAAGGATCATGAGTAGTGGAGATATGAAAAGTAGATGGACATTCATTATTTTATAACACTCCCTCGAATGTCCATTATACAAGGAATATGCATTGTTAAAACCTTACTAGGAAAAAACTCAATGGAAAAAAATCTTAGTGAAGGAAAAAGAGTACATTATTCCTTGCACACATTAATACCTATTTTGGTCTCTCCTCGTTGAAGACATTATTTAAAATCTCTAAGACGACGCATTCCAATCTTGTGAATCATCTTCTCAAAAGTTATGGTAGGTAATGCCTTAGTGAACAAATCTGCTGGATTGTCACTTGGTCGAATTTGTTGAACATGAATATCACTATTTCGTTGAAGATCATGCGTGAAAAATAATTTTGGTGATATATGTTTCGTTCGTCACCTTTGATCTATCCTTCCTTTAAATGAGTTATGCGAGCGGTATTGTCTTCATACAAGACTCGTTGAAACTTCCTTCCTAGTGGATAAACGAGCATGTCTCTTGAATATGATGGGTCATTGATCTTAACCAAATACATTCTCGACTTGCCTCATGAATTATTAGTATTTCTACATGGTTTGAAAATGTGGCAGCTATAGTTTGCTTCATAGAACGCCATGATATAGTTGTATCTCCATATGTAAATACATAACCAGTTTGAGATCGAGCTTTATATGGATCAAATAAATAACTCGCATCCGTATAACCAATTAATCCGAGTCTTTGATTTGTTATAGTAATATAAGCCCATATCAATTGTTTCTCGAAGATAACGTAATATATGTTTAATTCCATTCCAATGTCTCGTGTTGGAGCAGAACTATATCTTGTTAATAAATTTACGGAAAATGCTATGTCGAGTCGAGTATTATTAGCAAGATATATTAATGCACCAATTGCACTAAGGTATGGTACTTCGGGACTAAGAAGTTCTTCGTTATCTTCTCGAGGTCGAAAAGGGTCTTTTTGAACATCAAGTGAACGAACTACCATTGGGCTAGTCAATGGATGAGTTTTATCCATGTAGAATCTTTGTAGTACTTTTTCCGTATATGTTGACTGATGAATAAAAATTATATCTTTTAAGTGTTCGAACTGCGAGCCGAGACAAAATTTTGTTTTTTCAATATCTTTCATATCAAATTCTCCTTTTAAATAATTTATGGCACTTAAAATCTCTTCGAAGTTCCAATTATATTTAAATCGTCAAGATATATAGCAATTATCACAAACCCCTTTTCGAATTTCTTTATAAAGACACATGGACAAATTGGGTTATTTTTATAACCTTCTTTTAATAAATAATCACTAAGACGATTATACCACATACGCCAAGATTGTTTCAATCCATATAAAGATCTTTGTAATTTAATCGAATACATCTCTCGAGAATGTATTTTACATGCTTCGTGCATTTTAAGTCCTTCGGGACTTTCATATAGACATCATTATCAAGTGACCCATATAAATTGGTCGTGATTACATCCATTAAATGCATATGAAGTTTTTCACATGCTCGTCAAGCTAATAAGATAAAAAAATATAATTGCATCCATTACGGAAGACTATGTCTCTTCATAATCAATGTCGAGTCTTTATGAAAACCTTTGCGCTACAAGTCTTGCTTTATATCTCACAATTTCATCTTTTTCATTTCGTTTTCGCACAAATACACATTTGTATCCTATTGGCTTAACATCTTCGGGTGTTTTAACTATGGGTCCAAAAGCTGCTCGTTTTGTAAGAGACTTTAATTGTTCCCGAATTGCATCTTTCCACTTAGGCCAATCATCTCTATGTCGACATTCTTCAATAGATTTAGGCTCGGGATCTTTATTCAAAATACCAATTGCCACATTATATGCAAAAATGTTATCAATGAATGTTTCCTTTCGGTCTTATATTCTTCCTCGTGTTAACATAATTTATCAAAATTTCTTGATTTTTCTCAAGCAATTGGGCTTCTTCGAAAGCTTGTTATCAAAAACATCTTGGACCGTTTTATCTACCTCCTTTATATTTTCATCTTGATTATTTT